GGCGGGGGCGGAACGGGGAGTGAGCGAAGAAAGGAAAAACTGCGAGTTCCTCAATCAGCAGACTGCTGGGCATCGCCTGTGCCCCGCTCTCCTCTCGCGCACCTGCGCCCTGCTGCAGGAAAGATTTTAATAAGGCCAGTTTGGGCAAGCAAAGCACTGCACACACACACACACACACACACAGCGAATTGCACTGCTTCTGCTCGTGCATGCGACGTACCGCCCGCGCCGCGTGTGGTGCCGTGCCGGCGCGTGGCGTGGCGTGGCGGGGTATCTGGTCAGTGGTCAGTCTGCGACATACGCGACATGCGCTGTACAACAGGCCGATGAGTAGCAGACGGAGCCGATGGAGGAAACAAATCAAAAGAAGCGGTCGGTCGTACGATGCGATTGCCTACTTCCTCTCTGGTCGCCGCCGTCCTTGACGTGAGGTCGGGCCGCCGCGGGCTGCGCGGTGCGCGACATGACGCGAGGGCCTTCCCGCGGGCCCCGGGCTCCCTCCGGCTGTTGACGTGAGGAGCACCCGCTGCACTCGGATGTCACCGCGCTCGGTCCACGGTCCACCCGGCCCATTGCGTGCAGCGGGCGCCGCGCCACGCGAACTCCCACATCTGCTTCCGCCTCTGAGTGGGTCGGCTATGACCACCTCGACGGGCATGAAATGATACTAGTGCGAGCCCTTCAGTCGGCCATCGGAGCGCTTCCAGCCGATCCCCCACGACCCCCCACCTCGTAACGACTGATTCCCCTGCCCCCGCCCGGGTTCGTCGTCCACGGCGACTCTCTTGTGCTGACTCCTCGACCGTCTGTCTGCCCGCAGCACACGCCCGCGAGGCCTCGCCGGAGGCTGCTCCAGGATGACGACCGCCGAGAACCTCGACGCCGCCGGCGTGCCCGAGTTCTACGCGGGCCGCGACCTGCTGGTGACCGGCGCCACGGGCTTCATCGGCAAGGTGCTGCTGGAAAAGCTGCTGCGCTGCTGTCCGGACATCCGCACCATCTACATCCTAGTGCGGCACAAGCGCGGCATCAAGCCCCGCGCGCGTGTCGACGCCATGGCCTCGCTGCCGGTGAGTACGGCGGCCTCGCCGAGCACCCCCGAACACCTTCACGAGAGCAGGGAAAAGTTGGGCATTTCTCACCCTGACCCCCCC